TGAAATTAACAAATTCAAAATTCATAAACTTTCAAAACCCATCAAAAAATTTACCAGTAAGTTATAGGGTAAGTTGATTATCCCTTTTATATATATTTCTAGATTAAATATATTCTAAATGATATTAATTGAGTGCACCTCGGCCTCATGATCCAATGGTCATAAATCAACTTGTAAGCTTGTTCCCCAAACTTGAGAACTGGGGTTGGATTCCCCCCTTCCCAACAAATTGTAACCTTGTTAAAAAAAATGATATTAATTGAGTACTTTAGTACTCCTTATAGTTAAATTTAGTTATTTTATTTTTTAAATAAAAATAATTTGATTTAATTATTTTATTTTTTATTTTAATAACACAATAAATATTATGTAATATTTTAATTTTACTATTATCTCAACAAGATAAAAAGTAATCACTAATATCAGTAATATATAAATTTTTTACTTAATTATAATTAATGGTAAAAATAAAAAAAAATAAATTTTAATTATTTTAATATCTAAATTTTTTATTAAAAAATAAAATATGACTACTAAATTCAATAAAAAAAGTAATCACTAATATAAAATTCTTGACTTAAAGGTCAAGAGTAGACCTAACAAAATTGAATCCAATTCAGGAATCGAACTCAATTCAAGAATCCAACCCAACTTAACCATTATGGGTTGGATAATGGATCTTATTTGTTAATTAGAAATATGAAATGATTTAAATTGAAATTACCTGAATCTAAATAAATTTGGTTATAAGTGAGTTGAGTCACCCAAAATGACTTGAGTTTTTTTTATTATTAAAGTACATAAAAATTAATTTTAAAATTCAAATGTTCTAATTCTAAAATAAAAATAAATAAAATATTCAAACTTTAATTTCCAATCAGTTTCACTTTCTCTTAACTTTTCTTCTTCTCCACTCTCGCTCTCCATTCTTTATTTCAAGCTCTCTAATCCTTCTCTTTGGTGGCACCTAAGTAAAAAATAGATCAAGTAGCACATAATGAGTTATACTATATGATACCATAAAAAAAGATATTTTTTTAATAGAAAACAAAAATGTCTATTGAAAATCAAAATCCAGTAATTGAGGTACCTTCATCACTATTAGAAGCACACAAACAAAAACATTAAGGTTCATTCTTAGTTGCTAATTTGTTCTTAGTTAATAATTTGTTCCTAATTTATAAAAATCAATCTTGATCCAATTTGTTCTTGTATTTATTTAGACATATTTTGAATTTATCTTTTGAACTTTAATATTGAATAGGATTATATTTTTTGTATAGTGTCCTTCTAAATATTAAATAAAATTATATTTTTTGTATAATACCCTAAATATGCATTAGATATTAGTATATATATTTGATTTGTCTTTTGAATTTTAATTCT